AAAGGGAGAAATTAAATATTAATTCATTTTTTAATTGTAATAAATCTAGATTTATTATTATTATAATAAGTATTATTATTATTATTATTATTATTACTACTACTACTACTAAGCAAGTGAAATATCTTTTGATTTTTATTAATTCGTTGACACGGAAACTTCGTACTGATACAAAATGGTGTATTTAATCAAATTTGAAGATGGATTATATTTTCGGATCCTACAAACAGACCGCTCTGCCACTCTGGGATTAAACTTTCAGCATGTTTCCCTCTCTCTTCTAGAGGGTTGGAAACGCACCCTCTTCACCGGCAAGCTTTGTTTACTGGCGTGCGCGTACACAAGGCCGGCAACTCGATGCACTTGACCCGCAAGGACCTGATGCGACGTGTGAGAATGCCAGGGGAGGGGCTGTTTTCCTTATTTTCCACAGGGTACGCTTCCGACAGCAGACGACGCGTAGTTGATGGCGTTTATCAAAGACCGCGACGAGGCAGTGGACGACCTCGACGAGATACAGCGCAAACAAGGAGTTTCCGAAATACGTTTTTCTTTTGCTTCGTAGTTTCGGAGAGGTTCTTCTTTTACTTTGTAGTTTCGGAGAGGCCTTTTGGCAATTCACACCAAGGAATTACAGCTTTCTTTGATTTTCGGGCGGCATGAAAGGTTTTTTTAACTGGACTAGCATTTTCAATGAATCAATAAATATTATATCAATTAAAAAGTATGAAATCGTTGGCACGCAAAATTTGAGCATTATTAAATTGTTTTGTTGGAGAACGCTTTTAATATTGGCAAAGACGGATTATTTCGCACTCGAAGAGTGGGGGAAATTCTATTTATGAAATGAGCTCACTCGTAAAATATCTTAGAAAATAATGCATTTTGCTGCTAAAACATTTCAACGTATTATTTGAAAAATTTAATGTTATTGTAATATTCCCTCATGCGTTCTTATAACCTCGCTGATCACTAAATAGTCATTCATTGAATCTGAATTTCAATTATCACGAGCTGCCAAAAGATTGATGTTGCTAATTGTAACGATCAGACCAGTGAAACCTCCCTCATATTTACACCCACGGCTGCCACGGAGATTGTTCCAATCACGAGCGTAATTAATAACCTTTCTCTTAGTCTTTGAACCCCAGCGGATGACGTGATTTCCTGCGTTTCGAAGGAATTTTCTCGAGGAAGGAGGGGGGGAGGTTTGGGTTTGATAGCTGGACACGGTGAGAAAGGGTGAGGTAGAGAGAGGGGGGAGAGGGGTGGGCGAAAGTCGTAACTGCTGACCAAACGGCACTCTCATCTATATGCCGCTTGGCCAGAACGGTTTCCATTGCGCGGACATGGTCAGACGCTAGCCTGCCTTGCGCTCGAAATTAGGCCACGAGAAAATCCATTTTCCAAAACGGCGATGTAGCATGTCGAAAAGTTAACCCTAACATAGAAATTAAATAGGAATAAAATGAAGTTTCCGAACGTTGTAGTTAATGTAATGATATTCATTAAAAACTACATTAAAACACCTTACATAATGATAAATGGAGTAATTTTATAAACTAGGTAATAGTAGAAGGCTATGTAACAATTATGTATCGATCCTAAAAAGATAATGGCCAAAAATGTCTTTATAGTATATACTAATGATCAAGAATTACTAATAAGTGATTTTAAAAGCTAAATAATTATGAATAGATTCTAAACGATAGAACCCAAACATTTTATTAAGTTAAATTAAATGAATTATCAATGCCAAAAACTTAATAACAGAAATTAACCGGTAAAGAAGTCATGATATTTTTACTTAGAAAAGTGGTTTAGTTTTTAACGCAAATTCCGAGGTAACTTTTCATCAACCAAAACAAATTTGTTAATTAGTTATCTCGCAAACTCCTTTCAAAAAATGAATTTACATGTGAAAGAAAAAAAAATATCCTATACGCGCGGACAATTTCCAGAAGTAATTTCATGAAGAGTAAAAGGCCCAAAGAGATTGCGAAGAACTTTCTAATCTTTCAGTTTACTAATTACGGAAAGGTTCGACTATTCCGCAGAGGGAGCTTGAGTTCTCTGGCCTTCCCGCTATCCACACTCCCTACCTGTTTTTACCTGCATCGCTTTTGTCGGAGTCTTTTTCCTCGTTTGTGGAATGTTCTGCCGACGCAACTCCACGTGTTGGATTGGGAGTACAGCTTTCGGTAGAAAGGACAGAAATATTGACTGTTAATATGTACTGCTTCTATTGACGTCAATCTGAATGTCACTCTGACAACTTACGTTCAAACGTTTCTGTCTCTTACTAACAACTTCAAAAGTACTTCGAAGTTATTGTATATTTTTGTTATTTTGGCATATTGCGCATGATATTCGTACGTGTGTATGTATTTCTTGTAATTGATTTTTGTGAAGTGACTGGCTAGACTGCAACCTAGACACTGCGAACATAATATTTTAACTATTATACCTTCTTCTGTTGGGCTTAAAAATGAAAGAATCAACTACTAGTTTGAGCAATATTAATTGTAACAACTTTGAAGACATTTAAGGAAATATAATGAAGTTATATGAAAAGCGTACATATTGAGTCGTTCAAATGTAAAAGGTTTTAAAAGGTTTGACGCTTCACCAGTTGGACAAAATTTGCCAACTTTACTGTACATCCAATGTTTCAAACTTTACAAAAAACACGAATCCTAGATTATTTTATTTTTTTTAATGTAAAGTAATTATAATAATTATCCTCTAATTCACGACTAAAGATGTGATGAGTCGGTTAAATATTATAGCAGGTATAAGGACTGTGGGTGCTTCTAATATACTTTGAGCAAATCGTGGGCTATTCCAAATAAAACAATGTTTTGCACATTCCATTCTTTTGAATATCTTGTCAGTTTTGCAATTTATTGTTATTGTTATTACAGCAAACCCTCATTATCACGAACTCGTTTAACACGAATTTCGCCATAACACGAACATAACTTGGTAAAGGGTCCCGGCAAGGAATTACTGTTATACGGTCATTTATAATGATCGAATAACAGGAATTCCGATTATTTCGGTCCCTTGGAAGTTGCGTTAATGAGGGTTTACTGTATTTTAATCACGTCCAAGACTTGCTGACGGTGTTGGGTGGTCGTTTTCAGATGGAGAACAAACTGCCTCCCTTGGAGTCTGCGCTCCCGTCAGCGGAGGCGGATCGCGCGGGGGCGGAGGTGCTCGACCTGTGCGTGCGCCGCCCCAGCCCCCCGCTGCCCGCCCACACCAGCCTCCGCTTCCAGGCCGAGAGCAGATTCTGCTCCCGCCGGCGCCGCTGGACTCGCCCTCGGCCTCGCCCGTGACGCCCGCTCGACGCCGCCACGGACGCCCCCGCACGATGGCGTCGCCCCGCCTCGGCGGCCGGGCCCTCGCGCCCCCGAGCCCCTCGCCGCCCCGCCGCCGGAAACCTTCGTGCTCCAGCAGCAGTCCAGGTACGCGCGACACGCTTTTCGTGGAGGGTTAGTTGAATGATTATCGAATTGAATCGAATTGAATCGAATTGAATCAGATTGAATCGATGAATCGAATTGATAATGAGAATTGAATGTGAATCGAATTGAATCGAATTGAATCGAATTGATCGATTGAATCGAATTGAATCGAATTGAATCGATTTGAATGAATTGAATCGAATTGAATCGAATTTGAATCGAATTGAATCGAATTGAATGAATTGAATCGAATTGAATCGAATTGAATCGAATTGAATCGAATTTGAATCGAATTGAATCGAATTTGAATTGCTTATTTTACGTGGGAGACTCGGGCCATCAGGCCCGCTCTTCCGTCTGACCACGCAAATTTCGCTACGCTCCGTTCACCAACTACAGCAGAATCGCGCTAATCGGGACTAACTGAGGGGGCGTGGTCTGTTCGTATTCTCCGGGACAAAAATGTACCGTACATATGTACTGGCGCGTTGCGAGGAAAACGCACACTATAATCTTGGCTCGACCAGGAATCGAACCCGGGACCGCGTAGTGGAATGCGAGCACGCTGAGAAAGAGATAGCAACAAACTAGGCTAATACGTCATTATTTCTGCCGTAAAATGCCATATTATGAACGATTTTTGCAACGGAAAGTCATTTATAATGCTGCTATACAAAACATGTTTATAATGCAATTTGTTTAAAAGAAATTCAATGGAGATATCAGAAACCTTGAGGCACATGAAATAAAATTTAAACTTTCATTTTTTTATGTTCATCAAAATATTTAGTACCCAAAGTCAACTTTCGGCAAAACTATTTCCATCATTAGTAAGTCTATAATAATGCAAAAGGAAAAGCATATTATTTTCATCTTACAACGTCTAATTTTTTGCTCTTAAAAATAAATATTCTATGAAACGTTGTCGGTAAACGCAACAATTGAAAGAACTAATTACTACCCAAAAACAATGTAGCTACGAAAATCGGAAGAGCGTTAAGTAATACCAACCCCAGAAAAATGTAAACAACTGGTTGTTTCTCTATGGATGTAGAACACACAGGGTATAGAACGATTTTCTTAAGAATGGGATAAAGTGACAGTTCGCGAAACGAGTGAACATCAGAGAATTACTTCAGAGAAGTAAACATGTGCACCGTCACGAGTACGCATCTCGCATTCAAGACTCGGTTTTAAAACAATCATAACACTTATCACATAAAAACTAAATTCAGTGTAATTTTTATAAAAAGAAAGGACTTTTACACAAGAGCATTAAGCTCTGCACTTCCTAATTTCAATTATTTCTCGTGGCGCACTATATTTTCGTCGGACGAGGACATCACAGCAGGGAGCGTCGAAACTATTTACAAGTTAGCCAACTGCAAACAAACGAATGGAGGAAGGAGAGTCTAATAAGTTGAAGGACACCGACCACAGAATCGTCAGTTGTGCTGCCAGCACTAGCTGTCAAATCATCCCATTCTAAAGAAAATCGGACAATAGCAACGGACGGCTAACAAAAAATTGTTGAAACCATTAATTTGGAGTAGTGCAAGCTTCTGCACGTGAACTGTTCTTTGCCAGGCGCCGCCCGTGATGCACGTGGCCCCGATGCCGGTGCAACAGCAGCAGCAGCCTGCTTCCGGGCACGCGTTCCCTGGCGCGCCGCAGGAACAGTCCCAGCAGCCGAAGCTGCACCGCGTGCGCATCCTGTCGTCGTCGCCCCCGCGATACGTGACGCGGCCGCTCTGCTTGGCTGACTCGCCTTACTACGTGGTAAGTACGCCCCCGCACGCTCCAACCGGTTGCGGAGGCCCAGGGCATCAACTCATTTCATTATGCATCAACACAAGGGATCCACTTCCGACGGTGGCAGGGACTGGACTTAGATATCTACTACGTGGAACGTCCACTCCCCCCCCCCCACACACACACACACAAACTGGCTGTGGTGGCTCAGGGCATCAACTTAAGCCCCTGTAGTGTCTCTGACTGGAAGGTTCTGGTGTTCTACTTCTGACGGTGGCAGGGATTTTCAGAAAAGGACTTCGATATCTACTACGTGAGAAGTCCACTCCCCCCCCCCCACACACACACACCTTAAAACCTTAAAAGTGCTCTCTTATATAGTTATTTACAATAATCAACAAAACGATAGCAATAAATCTACATTTGGTTGATTCCAACTAAACGGAAACCAACCTTAAAATTCGACGTCAACTATTTATAGTAAAAATGACGGGTAGGGATTCTGGAACTCACGAACACGTGCGGAGATAATCTCCTCCCCCATACGTCACATTGTTTTTACTGTTTGGTACTGATTAAATAAACAAACGAATCTAAAGACAGTCTCGCTTGTAGTTTCCATCATATGAGTGCGTGTGTGTGTGTGTCCGCAGCCGGACCTCCACGCGCGCTCGCCGCCGCTGCCGCTGCCCGCGCAATCCAGCACCTCGCCCACGCCGTCCTGCTCCGCCGCGGGCCAGCGCCCCCTGCAGCTGGCGCCCTCCGCCTCCGCCTCCGCCTCCGGGCTGGGCTTCCAGGAGGCCGTGCCGCTCATGCTGCCCCTCGCCTCGCAGGTACGTGACACGTGCTTCTTTTATTTTTTTAAAAAAATTATCAAATTTTTATATTTTAAACATTTATCAAATTTGTTTATTTTTTAAACATTTTTATCAAATTTGTTATTTTTAAACATTTATCAAATTTGTTTATTTTTAAACATTTATCAAATTTGTTTATTTCTTAAAACATTTATCAAATTTGTTTATTTTTAAACATTATCAATTTGTTTTATTTTTTAGAACATTTATCAAATTTGGTTTATTTTTTAAACATTTATCAAAAATAATTTATATTTAAAAAATAATTAAATTTTTACATTAAATTTTTGTATTTTTTAATTTTTTTAAACACAAAATATATATTTTTATTTATTTTTTACTTTATTGCAACGTTCATTCGGAGTAATGTACGTAGTAGAGAGAAAGTTAAGTAATGCTGGGGAAAATGGATTTCGAGATGTCGAGTCGATAGATTTTGGGTGTCTTGATACTTAAAAAATAAGTTTTGAAAGGAGGGGAAAAAAAGGCCTTCCGTCGTTTGTGGAAAAACACGAGAGCCTAAACTATTCAAAGGAATGTACTGCGTGTTCTAACCTACAATGTCTGGAATCCTTTCATTTAGCCTTCTCCGGTTACTACCCACTTCCACCTGTACAATTTAACAGGTATTTGTGGATGGTGTCATTACGATTTTGGAAGTGGCGTGAAATTTGTGTGCCAAGCGTCATGCTTCAACCGCACATTTTTACCCAATATTTACTGTTACCAAAGCCAGTAAAGTCGTTTGGAACTAGTTTGAAAGAAGGCTGAGTGGACCTTATGGCCTGATGAAAATCTTCAGCTATGCTGGGATTTGAACTCTGATTTCTCAGGTTAGCAAACTTCTGACCTAACCACACGCTGCGGCAAATCTTGACCTTTCTTAACCTGATTTATTTTTAAATCAAGGTCACGCCTGACCTTCCAAAATTCTCTACGCATCTGTCGCCATTTAGCAGAGAAAGACATCACGTTTGCCTTGAAACAGACGATTAGCATTTAGCTCAGAGTACTCTTAAACTTGAGGATATTTTACACGCAGTAAATATACATGGGAGAACCGGCTTTACATACCCTCCAAATGGGTGCATATGAAAGTTTTTTTTTACGTGCTTGAAAACTCACTGCTTTGATCGGATTTGAACCGGCGAACTTGAGTAGAACAGTCCGATACACCACCCTCGCGGCCACAAATGTTTTTGGGTTGTCCTAAGTTATATTTTACAAAAAAGCGGCCAGCATACTTGCAAACAAAAAAAAAAAATTGAACATAAAAATTGTGTTATGATGGGTTGAACATTTATGGGGCATACTTACGATGTTATTTACAACCTAAATGCATAAATACTAATAATTGTTACTGCTTGTCGCTACAGTACTCCCCCTACCACCATGAAACTGACTTCATCATTTGTTTTGCCGCGCTGTTTTTTTTCTTTTTTCCCTTAATTTTTAGCGTTTTGTGATGACGCCTGCAACGCTTCGACCGCAACCCGCAGTACTTCCGTGCTCTACAGAACGGAATGTTCACTGACAGCCCCTTTAGCCTATCGTAGTTATGTTATCAGCTTCGTGATTAAGAAATTTAAATTCTAGTAAACGACGTTGGCGATACTACACGAGCAAAATGAATTCAGCAGGCACACAAATTTCGAGCGGTCGACACCACATAGCAAAGAAACGGTCGGATTTCAAATGACAAGGAAGCGTAACAAGACCTATCTACGAAACTGAACATAATATGTAATTTGACCGACGCAAGCACTTCAAAGTATGACAAGAAATGAATAGCGGGAATATCAACGAGGATAGTAATGACGTAAGAGTAATCTGAGAATCAATAATACGAGAATTTTGAAAAGCGACGCCACGACTGTTAGTATAGTTACCAAGACCAAAGGTCAGTTCCATTCTGTCTAGCTATGAATGAAATTCCGTCCAGAATATTCAAAACACAACAAACTAGAGCGAAGTCAATGTATTGAGCACGTTGACCTCTTCAGTCCCTACTGAGACGTCTACGACGGCCACGACAGACAACAATTGTTGGAGAGATACAGAGCGAAAATTAGTCAGTTGGGGAAAGGACAAGGACAGATGACGAGTGAACTAGTAGTTGGGAGATCTAAGAGCATAGTAACGAGCTACCCAAAATTGTCCTTAGTACGGAAATGAATGTTAAAATTACTTCATAATGTAACATTACAATATTTCATTACTAAAATTTTCCACGTTATATCCCTTTACCCCCGATCGTTCTGGCAACGCCTTTCAGCGTACGATTGGGAGGTTTAGAGTCTGACCGATCAAGAGATTGCGAGTCCGTTGTACATTTGATGTTAAAACAAGCCCACATAATCGTTTCATTACCAAACACGCTGGGAATAAAACTACCGGATCACATGCATAGTGATTTTTCGTTCAATTAATTTTGCTAATTCGAAATCAATCGCTTGTGGGGGTTTCTATTATTTTTCTGTATCGAGGCTAAAAATTAACTGTATCATTTTTTCTTTCCTTCTGTTTGTGTAAGAGCTATTAGTATATTTTGTCTTATATTTTAATTTAAATGTTACTTTTTGAGAGCTAAATGATCGGAAAATTAATCGATGCGTAGATTGGCGAACGAACGCCTGTGAATTTGGCAAACGATTATTGTAGCAATGGGGTTGGCATCCCCCATCCCTCGCTGCGAGTGTACGTGTTTGTGTGTTGCAGGTGCTGAGCGCGGGGGCGAGCGGCGGCGGCGGCAGCGGCGGGCGCGGCGGCAAGCCCACGCGGCCGTTCAAGGCGTACCCGCGCGACCCGCTCAGCCTGACGGCCGGCCTGCAGGTGTCCGACGCCCTGCTGCCCGACGCCAACGAGCGCAACGAGCGGTTCATGGTCTTCAGGCACCACGTAAGCATCGCTCCGACCCGCTCCGACCCGCTCCGACCCGCTCCGACCCGATCCGATTCGATTCGATCCGATTCGACCCGATCCGATCCGATTCGACCCGATCCGATCCGATTCGACCCGATCCGATCCGATTCGACCCGATCCGGATCCGATTTCGACCCGATCCGATCCGATTCGACCCGATCCGATCCGCTATTTCGACGCGATCTCGCGATCCGATTCGACCCGATCCGAATCCGATTCGGACCCCGATCCGATCCGATCGACCCGATCCCGATCCGATTCGACCCGACTCCGATTCGGATTCGGATCCGATTCGATTCGAACTCCCCGATCCGATTCGATTCGACCGCGATCCGATCGACCGATCCGATTCGACCCGATCCGATTCGATTCGACCCGATCCATTCGATTCGACCCGATCCGATTCGATTCGACCCGATTCGATTCGACTCCCGATCCCGATTCGACCCGATCCGATTCGACCCGATCCCGATTTCGATTCGACCCGATCCGATTCGATTCGACCCGATCCGATTTCGATTCGATTCGATCCCGATCCGATTCGACCCACCGATCCGATCGACGATCTTCGACGCCCGATCCGATTCGATTCGACCCGATCCGATTCGGATTCGACCTGCGAATCCGATTTCGATTCGACACGATCCGATTCGATTCGACCCGATCCGATTCTGATTCGACCCGATCCGATTCGATTCGACCCGATTCGATTCGACCCGATCCGATTCGACCCGATTCGATTCGACCCGATTCGATTCGACCCGATTCGATTCGATCTGATTCGACCCGATCCGATTCGACCCGACCCACACTAATACTCACCACTCTGCATGCCCGGACACGTGCAACAACCTGACCCTCCCCCGCCCCGTCACGCCCCACCTTACTTCACACAACCACGCCACGACTATTCACTCCATATGTCCCCTCCACCCTGACGTTTTTGCAGAAATCGCCAACTGAGGACGAAAACTTCCTAGCTTCAAAAAACTTAAGATTGTTTTTTTTTTTTTTTTTCATTACTTAATTTTGTTTTGAGAGGAACTTCGCTGGTTACCTCATGCTTGAATTATCATCCGTAGAGGAGGCGCGTGACTTAAGTTAATAATATTTTTTTCTTCCGAATCTTTCCAATCATTTAATTTTTTCCATAAGATTTCTAGTTCCATTAAACCAATTAGTTGTTGGCGTACTTTCTGTTCTACCGCCATTCCTCAGCCAGGGCAATATAAACCACTGCAAAGACCGATAAAAAAAATTGTCGATTTTTGATCTGCGTGTGACCGGTGTGTGTATGTGTGCGCGCAGATCCTGTCGCAGACGGCGGGCGGTGCAGTGCAGCGCAGGGCGAGTGGCGGCAGCGGCGCGGGCGTGAAGAGGCCCGCCAGCCCGGCGCAGCAGCCCAGCTCCTCCGACGCCCAAACCGGTGAGTTTTACGACCTTGATCGATTATTCGCTCGCGATCTTTCTTGATCGGTTATTCGCTCGCGAGATCGCGAGCGAATAACCGATCAAGAAAGATCGCGAGCGAGATAACCGATCAAGAAAGATCGCGAGCGAATAAACCGATCAAGAAAGATCGCGAGCGAATAACCGATCAAGAAAAGATCGCGAGCGGAATAACCGATCAAGAAAGATCGCGAGCGAATAACCGATCAAGAAAGATCGCAGCGAATAACCGATCAAGAAAGATCGACGAGCGAAATAAACCGATCAAGAAAATCGCGAGCGAATAACGATCAAGAAAGATCGCAGCGAATAACCGCATCAAAGAAAGATCGCGAGCGAATAACCGATCAAGAAAGAATCGCGAGCGAAAACCGATCAAGAAAGATTCGCGAGCGAATAATCGATCAGAGTTCGTAAAACTCACCGGTTTGGGCGTCGGAGGAGCTGGGTCTGCTTGCGCCGGGCTGGCGGGCCTCTTCACGCCCGCGCCGCTGCCGCCACTCGCCCTGCGCTGCACTGCACCGGCCCGCCGTCGCGACAGATCTGCGCCACACATACACACCACCGGTCACACGCAGATCAAAAATCGACAATTTTTTTATCGGTCTTGCAGTGTTTATATATTGCCCTGGCTGAGGAATGGCGGTAGAACAGAAAGTACGCCAACAACTAATTGGTTTAATGGAACTAGAAATCTTATGGAAAAAAAATTAAATGATTGGAAAGATGTCGGAAGAAAAAAATATTATTAACCTTAAGTCACGCGCGCCTCCTCACGGATGATAATTCAAGCATGAGGTAACCAGCGAAGTTCCTCTCAAAACAAAATATAAGTAATGAAAAAAAAAAAAAAAAAAAAACAATCTTAAGTTTTTTGAAGCTAGGAAGTTTTCGTCCTCAGTTGGCGATTTCTGCAAAAAACGTCAGGTGGAGGGGACATATGGAGTGAATAGTCGTGGCGTGGTTGTGTGAAGTAAGGTGGGGCGTGACGGGGGGAGGGGTCAGGTTGTTGCACGTGTCCGCATGCAGAGTGGTGAGTATTAGTGGGGTCGGGTCGAATCGAGATCGGTCGAATCAGTCGAATCGATCGGGTCGAATCGAATCGGGTCGAATCGAATCGGGTCGAAATCGGATCAGGGTCGGAATCGAATCGGGTCGAATCGAATCGAATCGGTCGAATCGATCGGATGGGTCGTCGAATCGGTCGGGTTCGAATCGAATCGGATCGGGTCGAATCGAAATCGATTCGAGGTCGAAGTCGAATCGATCGGGTCGAATCGAATCGGATCGGGTCGAATCGGATCGGATTCGTCGGGTCGAATCGGATCGGATCGAATCGAATCGAGATCGGGATCGGGTCGAATCGAATCGGATCGGGCTCGGAATCGAATCGGATCGGGTCGAATCGGATCGGGTCGAATCGGATCGGTCGAATCGAATCGGGTCGAATCGAATCGGATCGGCGTCGAATCGAATGGATCGGGTCGAATCGAATCGGATCGGGTCGAATCGGATCGGGTCGATCGGATCGCGGTCGAATCGAATCGCGATCGGAGTTCGAATCGAATCGGATCTCGAATCCGATCGGATCGGGTCGAATCGGATCGGATCGGGTCGAATCGGATCGGATCGGGTCGAATCGATCGGATCGGTCGAATCGGATCGGATCGCGTGACGGATCGGATCGGGTTCGAATCGGATCGATCGGGTCGAATCGATCGGATCGGGTCGAATCGGATCGGATCGGGTCGAATCGGATCGGATCGGGTCGAATCGGATCGGATCGGGTCGAATCGGATCGGATCGGGTCGAATCGGATCGGATCGGGATCGAATCGGATCGAATCGAATCGGATCGGTCGTCGAGCGGGTCGGAGACGGGGTCGGAGCGGGTCGGAGCGATGCTTACGTGTGCCTGAAGACCATGAAACCGCTCGTTGCGCTCGTTGGCTCGGGCAGCAGGGCGTCGGACACCTGCAGGCCGGCCGTCAGGCTGAGCGGGTTCGCGCGGTACGCCTTGAACGGCCGGTGGCTTGCCGCCGCGCCCGCCGCTGCCGCCGCCGCCGCTCGCCCCGCGCTCAGCACCTGCAACACACAAACACGTACACTCGCAGCGAGGGATGGGGGATGCCAACCCCATTGCTACAATAATCGTTTGCCAAATTCACAGGCGTTCGTTCGCCAATCTACGCATCGATTAATTTTCCGATCATTTAGCTCTCAAAAAGTAACATTTAAATTAAAAATATAAGACAAAATATACTAATAGCCTCTTACACAAACAGAAGGAAAGAAAAAAATGATACAGTTAATTTTTAGCCTCGATACAGAAAAAATAATAGAAACCCCCACAAGCGATTGATTTCGAATTAGCAAAATTAATTGAACGAAAAATCATATGCATGTGATCCGGTAGTTTTTTCCAGCGTGTTTGGTAATGAAACGATTATGTGGGCTTGTTTTAACATCAAATGTATACAACGGACTCGAATCTCTTATCGGTCAGACTCTAAACCTCCCAATCGTACGCTGAAAGGCGTTGCCAGAACGATCGGGGTAAAGGATATAACGTGGAAAATTTTTAGTAATGAAATATTGTAATGTTACATTATGAATAATTTTAAACATTCATTTCCGTACTAAGGACAATTTTGGGTAGCCGTCGTTACTATGCTGTAGAATCTCCCAACTACTAGTTCACTCGTCATCTGTCCTTGTCCTTTCCCCAACTGACTAATTTTCGCTCTGTATCTCTCCAACAATTGTTGTCTGTTCGTGGCCGTCGTAGAACGTCTCAGTAGGACTGAAGGAAGGTCAACGTGCTCAATTACATTGACTTCGCCTCTAGTTTGTTGTGTTTTGAATATTCTGGACGGAATTTCATTCATAGCTAGACAGAATGGAACGGACCTTTGTCTTTGGCTAACTATACTAACAGTCGTGGCGTCGCTTTTCAAAATTCTCGTATTATTGATTCTCAGATTACTCTACGTCATTACTATCCTCGTTGAATATTCCCGCTATTCATTCTTGTCATACTTTGAAGTGCTGCGTCGGTCAAATTACATTATTATGTTCAGTTTCGTAGATAAAGGTCTTGTTACGCTTCCTTGTCATTTGAAATCACGACCGTTTTCTTTGCTATGTGGTGTCGACCGCTCGAAAATTTGTGTTGCCTGCTGAATTCATTTTGCTCGTGTAGTATCGCCAACGTCGTTTACTAGAATTTAAATTTCTTAATCACGAAGCTGATAACATAAACTACGATAGGCTAAAGGGGCTGTCAGTGAAATTCCGTTCTGTAGAGCACGGAAGTACTGCGGGTTTCGCGTCGAAGCGTTGCAAGGCGTCATCACAAAAACGCTAAAAATTAAGGGAAAAAAGAAAAAAAAACAGCGCGGCAAAACAAATGATTGAAGGTCAGGCTTTCCATGGTTGGTTAGGCGGAGAGTTACTGGTAGCGCGGGGGAAGCCCAAGGCTAAACCATTATTTAGTATTTATGCATTTTTTAAGGGTTGTAAATAACATTCGATAAAATCTCTCTTTCCT